ATAACAGAAGACCCCACCTCCTCCTTCGGGACGGGTCTCGGCAAGCATCCGAGCTCACGCCTGGCTTCGCAGAGCTTGAGCTCTTAAGGTTGAGGGTCTACCCATAGGCCCCTAAGTAGTTCCTTTTTTGGGATTACCTTATCGGATTCTAAATATAAGCCACAAAAAGGACCCTACTTAGGGGCCTATGGGTAGGCTCGACTAATTAAGCTCATTTTCTAGGGCCTCCGGAGCGGTCGCCCTCTGCTCTCCGTAGCCAGCTGTTGGAAGAATGGCCAAAGGAGCCGGAAACGAAGTAAGTCTAGGGTTAAGGGTTTCGGGTTTAGATGCCAATAATTGAAATGTTCAGACGTGAGTCTAGCTTTCATCGGATGGACTAGACGAAGCTGCTGAAAAGTCGTCTAATGCTCTGCGGGATCCGAGCCTCGCATCCGCAGACCACTTCAACAGGCGTTCTCGACTCGAGGCTTCATGGCCTCCCACAAGCGAACTGGGGGTGTCAGGTTTTGAGGTATTTTGTACTATGAGTATGACAGGAAGCCCGAAGTAGCAGTGGTACTTATTTCGGCCCCTATATACCCTCTCTCTCTATATATAGAAAGGCAGAGAGAGAGAGAGAGAGAGAGAGAGAGAGAGAGAGAGAGAGCGAGAGAGAGACAGAGAGAGAGAGGGCCTGAAAATCAAGCCCGAAACTCCAAGGAACACCGGAAGAAAGGCCTGCCTCCCACCTCCATCGAGCCCGAGAAAGACCCTGAGTGGGGAGGTGGAGCCTTGGTCCTTGGCCTTTTATAATATTGCAAAAGAGATCATACTATAGAAGAGTATAAGATATCATACTATAACAGAGTATCCGATAACATACTATAATAGAGTTATACGATGTCATACTGAAAACCTAGTATAATACTATACTTTTCCCGTGGGAACATTGAAGCCTTGGCTTTGGCTGCTGCTCCTTACTTTCTTAGGCTTCGGAACGCTGTCGCCATCGCCTCTGCGGCCGAACATTCGGTCTATGTTAAGATATAGTAGGGTTTAGGGTTTATGGTTTAGGGTATTAGTCCCAAAGCTCGGAGGCTTCATCGGGTTGCCGATAAGACAAAGGCCAAGGCAGCAAGACAGACGAGGCTGGTTGTCAGCACCCAGGAAGGCCTTCGTCACATTACATGTTATTTTGGACCCCATTACATGTTATAGTAATTATAGTACATACCTTATACTCAACTTTATTACTGTCCCTCACTGATGTTCGAAGCAAGATCCGCTCAGACCGAATAGATGAAGGCAATGGCAAACCCACTACACCCTGGAAAGTACACTGACTCTCCAACCACATTATTTCTGATCTTCAGAAAGCATAGCAGTCTGCACCTGGTTGGGCCTTCGGCCATAGCACCAAGCGGAGCCTGACGAGAGCAGCTAAAGCTCGCAAAATCTGAGGTGTGGTTTCAATATGAACCTGCTTCGCTGCGTAAAGAATACATCATCCACACCCAGCCAGGTGTGCAAGCAACGGATCTTTGAGGATGATGGGCTGAAGTGTCTCTCGTGCAAGAAGACCGTGTTGAGGTTGTTTCCTGCATCCCACTGTGTGTGCATTTGGGCACAAGGTTTTCTGGAGCTTTGCCGGGGGGCGATCTCGAACGCATGCTCCTGTGTTGATATGTAGATCCCCTGCTCTGACTATACTCTATACTACAACGTACCCTGACAATCCTAATCTAACGACAAGAGGCTCCTACCCGTGTGCTTTCAAGCGTGCCAGCCTGGTGGAACTGTCAGGCTCTTGGCCCTCGTCAGCCTTGCAGGTTTCAGGTTTCTGACAGACTGCACTTCAAGAGCTTCTTCTGCTTAACGGCGTCAAGGTCTGAATATCTCTTGGGCTGCTACACATGGATCGCCTTGTAGATTCAAAGTTCTGGGTGCTACAGTATCGGGTTCATCGAAGATCCACAGCGGAACGCTCCATCTCTCTGCATCACAACTGTTGACAGCCCTGTGACTCTATGACTATGTTTGCTACTGCAAATGGCCGTCAGCAGCAGTGTCTGCATCGGCGCCATGCCTCAACAATCGTGTACTCGTGCTAATCATTACGCTCATGTCGTAGCCAAGACCCGTCGCACACCTCCACCGTCACTACCAAAACCGCCGCCGCAAGCACCGGCACCACCAGCCCCACCGCCGCTACACACCACCACCAACAACACCAACACCAAAACTAACATCAACAGCAACACCGAACACTAACACAATCATGATCATCAACATCACTATCATCAGCATCGTCATCATCCTCATCACCACCTTCGTCATCCTCACCACCATCATCAGCCTCATCATCATCATCATCGTCGTCATCATCACCATCATCCGCATCATCGTCATCGTGATCGTCATCACCCGCGTAATCATCATCTTCTTCTTAGCCAGTGCTAACACCGGCACTATCATTAACAGCATGCAAGTCTTCATATTCACTTCTTCATCATCATCGTCATTATGACCACCACCAAAACAGCATTATTGTTGCCATCAGCGGAGGAAGCATCATCACCAGCAGCAGTCGCAACAGCATCGTCATCAGTACCCAGCACCACCATCATCATCATCATCGTCACCATCATCAACAACAACATCATCATCGCCGTCATCAACATCATCATCGCCGTCATCAACATCATCATCGTCATCATCAACATCGTCTTCATCTTCGACATCACAATCGTCATCGTCATCATCTTCATTTTCAGCATCATCATCACCATCATCATCATCATCATCATAATCATGACCATCATCATCATCATCAGCATCACCGTCATCATCGTCACCAACCACCATCGTCGTCATTATCATCACAACCATCATCGTCATCCTCCTCATCATCACCTTCATCACCATCACCATCATCATCGCCATCATCATCCAACCATCACCGCCACGATCATCAAGCCGATTTTCGAAAACCTGCACACCCGCAGCTTACGGCGAATTGCCACCAGACGCAAAACAGCGGTCCAATGGGTTCCGAGGCAACATGTTTGCAGCCAGGCTCGCAGAGCTTCACTTCCGAAAACACCTCTCAAACCCCATGCCAGTCCGCCATTCGTCACCCCAAAACTTGCTCCCGTAAGAGAAACGGCATGCATGCGGTTGATTGCGATGGGAAGTCTGGGAACCGGATTGACTTGAAACCACAGTGGTGACCAGTGGCCAGGAATTATCTGTGAAGACACAGAACTTCAACACTTGTGATGCTACAGCAACAGCGACTATCCAACGACTGACCATTGCAACCGACGCAAACCCTCTGCTTTCCTGCTGCTTAGGCTCCCGCAACGTGGGGAACTATAAGAGTAGGCTGGAACCTCAAATGCAAATACTTCAGTCACAAACATGAAGTCGGAGAGCTTATCCGTACCTCGACTGCGGCCTTTCAAAAGAGATCTTTGTCCCAGTCGCACAGCAGAGGCGGGGGGGCTGGCTAAGCCCTTTGGGCAACAGCCGCCCGGACTCTGCGAAGCCCCAGAAGGTTCGTCTTAGAGGATGGGGAGAGGAGATAGAAAACATAATCGACACAAGTGCGGCTGATGATATAAATCCTGCAATACCTGACGGACCCTAAACTATGGGAACTATGGTACATTCCTTATTATGGGTAATGCAGGGTTCATATCATCAACAGTAGGCTCATCAGTAAGACACCCCCAAGTCCACCAAGGTAGCACAGTTTGCGCTTTTCGCCACATGCCGAAACCCCTCAGCAAACAGAGATCTCGAGACCACACCGAGAGCCTCATGGTGTGGCGCTGCTAGGATTTTAGCACATTGGAGCGGCTTGTAGGCCAAAATGAGCACAGGAGAATGGCCGGAGCAGGAATTCCATCCGGAAACATCCGAAAGCACACACGGCACTATGGTGGGAGCGAAAGTCTGCCTTGGAATCTTTTGGCCTTGGAATTCGTCGTCGGCACCTACGGTGGAACCTCATTGAGGCTACAAACCGTAGAGACCTCGGCTTAAGATCAAACAAGCGCAAGGCTAATCCTGGAATGCAAAAATGGCCGATACCAAAACACAGGATCCTAAGTCCTCAGTAGCTATGTGCGGGGAGACATACACCATAGTAGTGATTCCTAATACAGTGAAGACGGACTCAGGGTGCTGCAGAGCATCTCCGATGCTGATAGTTTGCCAAGCCGCGATGTTTGCATCTAGAGATAAGGTTCGGGGTTTCAGAATTGAAGATCTGGTATTGAATTCTGGGTTCGGGCTTTAGATTTTAGGGGCTACGCCGTGGAGATTTTGACTCTTCCGGTTGAAGGTCCATCAGCCTTCCGGGATGGCTTCTGAAATGCGATGCCGGGTCTGACCTGAGGGCTGAATTATAGGCAGTGTCGGTGGAACCCAAAACCCCCACATTCCAGTGCATTCGGGCCCAAGAAAGAAGCCAACAAAGACTGAAGATTTGAGAGGGTGTCGTACTTAACCGACAACGGCGAGAGTCGAACACTGAGGGTTTTGGATTCCCTAGCTACTGTAATTCGTCTGGCCAGCAGCCGGCTACTGTAATTCTTTTGCCAACAGGGCGGATCAGCGAGCCGGCAGAATGGTTTCCATTCTGCTGCGAAACAAGCACAACGACAGCACCAAGTTCCAGCACAGGAAGTGCTTAATCACATCCTTGTGACGTAGAAGCTGAAAATAACTAATCAGCACCCCCCCCCCCCTACATTTACGAACTTTCCACGACTTTCCCTTATCTGAGGTGGATTCTTCTTCCCGAAAATACTTACACTTGCCGGACCAGGAATACCCGAAAGCCGCTTGACCGGCACACGTCCAACTAATTATGCGACTTCTACCAGTCTAGGACAGGAGGCATTCGGATGGCCTACCCCGCGAAAGGCACTGCTATGCAGATAATTGCTGACAGCAGCCCACACAGTGACAGACGTACACGAAGTTAGATCCCTGGGCTCGCGCGATTCGCCCACCTACTTGAAGAGCTGTGCCATGGTGGACTCAGAGAAATTGTGGGGGATTTCGGTGCCCAGCTTCCTGTTAAGCTTGCGCCACCACAATGCCTTAGCCGGTTGCACGCCGAGGCATTTGCAGTCCGCAAGGTATGAAGGGCATAACTACATACCCACCTCGTTGCACGAGGTGGGGAGTACATCAGGTACTTCCTCTCCCATGTCTGCTACCGATAAACCGTCGCAAATTCAATGACTGAGATCACGAATCGAGGGCACTTTCGAAACTGGCACAGTCAACCCGGTCGAGCTGCCGACAAGCGCGATGGGCACACCGCATTTCCCTGGAATGAAATCCGAAGTCAAGATCACATCTCCATTACCCCAAAACCCTAAACACAAAGTCCCACATGTGAAGCTCCAACTCCGAAGCTTGGTGCAGCTCGTGTCACTGAAGCTTTCGGCGTTCTCTTCCTGAGCTGTCGCAAAGCGATCCAATGGATTTGCGCATGTGTTGTTTCGGGGTTTGGACTCTCAAGGGTCGATTCGGGAGGATTCTCGAGGTTGCTGGCCTGAAGCGGGCCTCGTGATCTAGAACATAGTAGGTAGTAGTAAGGTGGTGGTGGTGGTGGTGGTAGTAGTAGTAGTAGTAGCAGCAGGAGTAGTAGTAGTAGTAGTAGTTGCAGTAGTAGGGGAAGCAGGAGAAGTAGCAGTAGCGGAGGAGGAACAGCAGCAGCAGGACTAGTCGTCGTCGTAATCGGCGTCGTAGTACTGCCGGTGCTTGTACTGGTATTGGTACTAATTAGTACCAATCTTACGACGACGACGACTCCTGATGCTGGTGCAGCTGCTGCAGCTACTGCAACTGCTACTCAAACCATTGCGGCAGCGACTGCTGCCACCACCGTTAATTTAGCTGTGCAGTCACTGGTCAGCAATCGCAGTCACTAGCACCATCACTCAATAGCACTGCAACATTTCGAATACTACTGTTCTTACTGACAACTGCCATTCCTCCTTGTGCATTGTCTTCCCAGCAGCTGGGTGCCAAAGTCAACGTAAGTCAGCCCAAACCTGGGTGAAGGACGTGTGAGATGGATCCAGCGAGACCCCGAGGCCCAACTCTTCACAAAGGCCGTTACATTGAAGCGCTAACACCCGTGACAAAACTATCTCACTCTTTGAACCCGTTACCTCATGACCTTTTTCAACCTCTAGCAGACTCTAGCACCCTAAAATCGCCCCCCCTCCCACACCAACATCCAATCATGTCGGTGAGTAGCTGCTGAAGAGCTGTCAGGGTTTGCTCGGGACTTCGGCAAGATGGGGTACAGGGTTGAGGATTGAGGGTTCAGAGTGGCTTACACGTGCGCGCGTTGTCATACTTGGACAACACATGTCAACCAAAACACATAATTGACTGGAACTCAAGCTTGAACTGAATGCCCTAGAAAACACTTCACACTGTCAGACCGGTGTGTTCAGATGTCATCTGAGCGAACTCTGAACTGCTTCGCTGCCGGCTTCCTATTGAGCTAAACGTCTTGCCATTACGATGGTTTTCCACACTGCGAGGATCTGGAGTGCAAGTTGTCAGTTAAATGGTGGCACAGCCGAGGGCATTTATCGCCAATGCTTTAACCAGGTCTGGTGTTGCTGACTCCTGGGTGGTGCTGATGGTGACTATGATGCTGATGGTGACGATGATGAGCCGTGATCTTGCAGAGCCCGACTGTTGATGAGTCATTCTTTACTGCACTTGATGGGCCCTCAGGAACTAACTATGCAGTGCCAGGACAGATAATCTGCACCATTGACTTGGAGTTGACATCGCCGCATCCGGGCGTGTCTGTTCAGACCCTGCATGAAGCCTTCCTATCCGCGCCTTTAGAAAAGGATCTTGCGGTATATTCTAACATGAGTATACAGGGCTATAAGGGATTCTATACCTCAAGTTCCCGTCGCAACCTCTCGGCACCTTGACTTCAAAAGGGCAAGCCACCTCCGAGAGTAGCCGTCTGCCCACTCAAAGTTGTCCAGCAGCGACCACACAACGTATCCTGAAACACAAGCCCCTGAAATCCCATGCTTGCACTTCGTGTGGTCCCAATCCTCTAGTATGGCAGCTGGAGCGGGTTCAGAAGTGAAACGTTGACAACCAAAGCCGCGCAGCGCGGTTGAACGGCAAAGAAGGTCACTGTGCTGCAGGAGTCCTCTAGGAAACCGTCCTCAACCACACGCCACAAGCACCCAACCCGTCAATCCAGGGCCCTAGAAGCCAGTAGCATCATCGGCCAACCCCAGACCGACCCCAAACATGGCTTCGGCTTCTCATCGGGAGCCTTGGACTGGAATGCCTTCCTCCACAGCTTCGGCTACTTTGGCGAGGTAGTCGCGGAAGAACCTTGAAATAACGATGAAAGACGGGCTAGGTGTTTGAATGACAGTCACATACTCCCTCCTGTTTGCCGGAAGACAACGAATTAGAGCTTTTGGCGCACGACCCCCACCACAACTAGCATCACCACGACCATCACCACCACCATATCGCGACTGTTCAACCGAGTGTCGGTATGGCCAAAAAGATTCTGGTCCAAATTTGGCAAGTGTTGAGTATTCGCTGCTATTGTTGTTGCTGTTGCTGCTAGAGCGCATGAGGATGGCAAAGGTGTTGCACCTGTGCTGCTACTGATGCTGCTAAGGTCATCACCAACATCAGCAGTACGCGTGGCTTTTAAAACCGAGCATCAGCCGATCAGCCAATCAACCCTAAACCCTAAACCCCTGACCCCGCAACCCTAAACCCTGAACCCCTATAATCCCGAAACCCTAAACCCCGAAACCCTAAACCCCTAAACCCAAACCCTAAACCCGACCACCCGATCAGCCGATCCGGCTGATCGGCTGATGCGCAGTTCGGAAACGCACTTCACGAGCACAATGAACATCAGGGTCACACTTACATCAGTGCTACACTCCTCTTCATCATCTTCATGACCATCATCATCCTCACCCTCCCCCACCCAAGCTCACTGATATCGGCGGCAACAGCAACAACCGACCGACCGGCCTACCGGCTTCCGCCCACCTGCAGACCGACCAACAAAACAGGAGCACAAGCAAGCAAGCGAGAGCAAAAAGCAAACAAGAGCCAAAACCAAACATAGAACAACAGCATCATCACCACCATCATGTCATCGCCGTCATAACAGCAACTGGATCATCCTCATGGTCATGAGGTGCATTGTCACCACCGTCCCATCATCATCGTCGTCGTCATCGTCATCGTCATCACCATCACCATCATCATCGTCATCATCATCATCATCACCGCGTCAGTACCACCATAATATCACATCACATCTCGTCAGATCACACATCCTCATCCCACACACCGACACCAATAAGATCCTCACAAGCATCATCGCCAACAACAACCGCACCATCGTCGCCGCGATGTTCACCAATCAAACAGATTCGAAGACCGATTCCTGGAGGGTGTCCAGACAGACTATGTTGCCTGATACTGCCTGGCCTAGCAAGTCGTAGTCGATGAGCGATGGTGTTGCCTTGACGGTGCTGGCAGGGAGCGAGATGCGGTACGAATCATCCACCGTCCAAGCCTGGAATCACCAAGCTAAAGAATCCTATGAGGCTAACGTGCCATCCTGCCAGATCGCCCTGCTGCCTTCCGGTTCCCTCGAGCCCCAGCAGTTCCTACATCCCAGAAGACTCCGGAGCGACGGAGACGTGCATACAGCAACGGGGCTCTGGCATACTGAGTGTGGCCAGGATCAGGGCAACCGTTCTCGGTGATGTAGATTTGATGCGGCTGATAGCGCTGGTTGACCTGAGACGCCCACGCGCGAAAGAACATCAAGAAATGACAGCAGCCCAGAATTCGGCCTCGGAAAGTCCTGTTCCCTCAATGCGAAGACCCCCTGTTTGGCGGCCCCTCTCCTCCGCAGCTTCAGCTCCAAACCTTCAATTCCGCACTAAACCCCGCATCGACTCCGAAGCGCTGAACTTGATTTCGGCGAGGGGCCCAGCGGAGATGCAGCAACATCTCCTCACAACACTGAATCCCTAAAAATCTTGGCCCGAGTAAGTAGTAACATAATTACTCAACGCATCTGTATCTGCAGACCCACCACCCCTGTAACCCTAAACATCCAGACAAATTATATTTCTTGCCACCTGTCTAGATCTTATGTATATTTGGGTGGTTTTCGTGATGTCGAGTCCCCTGAAAGTTGCACCGTTTAGACTAGTAGTTGAGGGCCCCCGCAGTGTTTGGGCCATGCATGAGCGAGCCAGAAACCCAACTCCCCGTAAGGTAACACACCCTCAAAGCTGCAAACCCTTTCCCTAGGGCTCCAAGTATACAAATAGTACCTACTTTGGGGTCTAAAGTCTGTAAATAGTACCTACTTTGGGCTATTTGGAGCCCCAGGGTTTAGCCCTTTGCATCTCAAAGGCCTGCACTCTCATGTGGAACCCTTGACCATGCAGCTCGAAAGTTTGGAGTTTACAGCGTTTGCAGTTTGTCAAGGCCAGATAGGCTTATGTTAGTTTCGCAAACACTTACGAAAGCTTAGGGTGGGGTCAGGGATTGCCGACTCGAGTTGGGCTCGCTGCTCAAAAAACCAACATCAACCGTGGCTTCTCGGATAGCTTCAGGGCTCTATTCACGATTAAACTAGGGTCTGGGGGCATATTGTCCGGAAGCTTAGAGGGACTACATTGACTACATGTGAGTGTCGTATCTGCCGCACTCTGTTCACGCACCCCAAAAAAATAGGGCATGAACTCAAACTGCACTACACCCTGAACCGAGCCAGAGCCTAAATGGAATGCTAAAAGTTTGACGCCCAAATATAGTTGCCCTAAACCCTAAACCCTAACCGAAGTTGTGCTTGATAGATGCTGAATAGATGGTTCCAGAAGGGATGCTTTAAGGAATCTACATGGCTTCAGCGCTATTGCTCCCAAGTCTAGACCGACAAGCACATGAAACCCTATAAGCCCTACACCCCTAAACCCTAAGCCTAAGCCCCTAAACCCCTAAACCCCTAAGCCCCTAAACCCTAAACCCTAAGCCCCTAAGCCCCTAAACCCTAAACCCAAACCCCCCCGCCAAGCCCCAGAGCTCGGTCGCGAAACCTTCACCCACCGAACCCCAAGTCGTCAAAGACCAGGGCCTCCGGAACTTTGTAGAGCCACGCCCCGATGAACTTATCGCCGATGGGCTTTCCATCCCTTTCCCCAAGGCTTCCAGCAAGGGGATATTTGGCTTTAGGGGAGAGCCAGGTTCTGACGTCTTTGGGGTTTGGGAGGGGCCACTACAGAGACCACTGCTGTGGCCTTTGGTTGGTGTGATGTTAGCGAGAAACATAAATGAGCTGCCCAAGCTTCTTGGCATGTCGAGCTCTACTTTGCACTGGGTTGTGGCAACGCAACAAAACTCGCACTGCCTTGAAATCTGCTACTTGGCTTGCAGAATCGCGGCCGCACAAGACTTCTGAAGGGTTCCACCCCACATAGCAAAAAATGCAGGTTGAGGCATGACGTTTGTCTTGGGGTCTGCTGAGGGCTTCCTCAGAAAGTGTTGGTGATCATGCACATTTTAGGGGGGGTTGGGGTAGAGCAGCACGGCTCGGATAAATCTTGATCAAACCAATACCACGAAAGGCTTGTGCTGTCTCTGGGGTTTGTCGAAGCAGAAAGGTTTTGTTCCATTGGACCCATGTGGCCTGGGTAAACCTTGACCTGCCGTAAGACATTCACTGTTGGATGGACCAGCTGCAACACCTGCAGGCAAGGATCTTGAAGAAGCGCTCTTGCGGATGGAGAGGGTCAACATCTTGATCACCATGATCATCATGATCACCATGATCATCCGAATCGTGTTTATGATGAGGCTGCTTTGCCGACCTGAGCCATCTCAGAACGCTTCTCGGGCAGAGTCCCCTCTAAGACAGCACCTCAGAACTCCCCCCCGTCTGAGGACACAGCACGTACCTCCCGCCGTAGGTGTTCAAGCCATAAATCGACATCGGGTGATTGGCACCTCACAGCGGTTGAGGCTTTGGGATTCAAGCTGTAGGGTTGGCACTTGAACACTCCTGTGGTGATGGTGATCACGAGGACGCAGCACTGTTACTACTGGTGCCAGCCTGATTGACATCACAATTGCAAACACTGCTGCTGCTCGTCCTCTTCCTCATGCCTGCTCTTGTTGTTGAGATGGATGCCTGTTCCTAAACTTCCTCGGGTTTTGCTATCCTAAACCCCAGACTCCTCGTCCCTGAAATCCCTAAAGCCTGACTTCAAGAGCTCTTGCTCCGCAGCAGTGAAGCGGGGAAGGTGCTTGCCGGTGACCAGCTTCAGCTCCTTGAAAGGGTCTATCTGACGCTCTCAGAAAAAAAGGGCACCCCAATATGGAACCCCAAATAATGCAGATAGGGAGGAGCACGAAAGACCCTAAATGAGGCACCCCCTGTTGGAATTCTGAAACTCGCGTCTGGGAACTTTTTGAGATTTCGATCTGGCTGGTTCAGGCCCGCCGGACACGGTCTGCAAACGGACTTCAACTAAGTGCGAACCCTCAGTCCCTAAACCGTATACCCTAAGTCGCCCTGCGAAGCGTGAAGCATTTCAACGTCCAATGAGCCCTCGAAAGAAAGCCAAGTGAGGAAGTCGTGGTTCAAGCAGCCGGTGTTGACTGTGCATAGTGTATAAGGGGTTTAGGGTTTAGGGTATATACTTGACAGATGTCACACATAAAGTACAATATATGATGTCGAATACCTTCTCTCCAAAATAGAAAATGTCGAATTGATCTAATATCTGATATCTAGCGTCAGGTGTCTAATATCTAATATCTAAAACTTGATACCCATTTCCAATATCTCATATGTGAAATACTGGGTTATGTTTGCTCATTATGCTGTATTATGTTATATTGCCTTGCATTGTACAAGGTACTGCTTCATCTCATAATATTCGATGTCGTGCTACGCTCTGGCATACTATTGTCTCTAAGCATGCATACCTATAACTTTACACTCAAAGCCTGTGCGCAGGATTACTCTAATTGAGTGCCCTAGGACTGACCATCGTACTTCATATTTGATTTTGACCCCTCGTGTTGCGGTTGATGGTATAAATCCTGCATTACCCATAGTAGGGAATGAACCATAATTTCTCATAGTTTAGCGTCCTTAAGGTAATGCAGGATTTATATCATCAACAGTAGGGTAGGCTGGCCAGTCCTCCGGATAGTCTCCGAAGAAGAGGGGATCTGCAAACCAACCTCCGCAGGTTTGGCGTTTCGGGGCGTCCGAGCTTGGGAGTCGACGTTTGGGGTTGCTGCACTTAAAGGTTCATGGGACTTAGTAACTGGGTTTTTCAATAAGGTAACTATACATATAATTACTTATAACCCCAATTAAGGTACTTATAACTCTACTTACTAGTCCCATGAACCTCCAAGTACAACAGTTTGCCACAGCTCGTCATGTAGGATACCTGAAGATTAACATGAAGCCTCGCAGATCTTAAACACAGATGTTCGCATCAAGTCCGAATGACAACAATGCTCGAAACTGATTTCCGGGCTGAGGTCTTCGATTTAGGCATCTGCATTTGGTCTCCGTGCCTTGAAATTTAGGGTTGCATTTTCTGTCTCCCCAGCTTGCGGCGAGTGGCCGATCCTCTGCAGGGCATCGACTTCGACACTCTTCACATCGTCCTTGTCGTCCGGATGAAGCGGCTCCGGGAAATCATAGTTTATCACGATGCCCATCCTTGCACAACGTGTGCTGCTGGGTGAAGGGATCGCACTTCCGATGCAGGGTTCGGACCATGCCAGCACAAACGCATGCTCGTTTTCGACAGTGGTTTGCAAAAAGGCTAGGAATACGATGCCTGCGCAGGTGGACTTGCATGGCCCTAGATGTGGGTATGTCATGGCAAGAGACTAATGTGTAGTGCTCCATGCACAGCTCCGAGTGCCCCAGCCACTTTCTGCCAGGCTGCTTGTACCCGGACTGGCCGTGGAACAAGTTCCGGAACATCTCAAAGGTCTTCGCATGTGCGAGAATCACCTCGGAAAACGACACCCCAAATCCCTCTATGCCGGAAAGCTTCAGGAGGGAGGAGCACCAAAAGCCCGACAAACATTGTCGTTTCAGTTAATTTGGCATTGCGCAACGTGAATGCCGACTCCGACTCAGGCTGGTGTTAAGAGTTCCTGCGCATAGCCGCTGTCGCTCCGATTCTCGGACTTGGGGAGTGTGCGTACCTCCTGAAAGCAGTCCCTGAAGCCCGAGAAACTGAAAAGTGCAAAGAAGTAAGTCGTCCGTAGGCACGTAGGGTTTCAGACTTCAGGTTCACCGCATGGGGCTGCGGTGCTCTTGGGCAGTCGCACGGGGTCGGACTCCAGGGGTTGCGGCTACCCTGAGACTGTAGGGGCCTGAATAACACGACCAGGGTGTCGTAATTGAATAACCCTATCAGGAGCGGTGTGAATCAGTAAGCGTGCAAGCTTCTATATCTATATCTATATATATATGTATATATATATATGTGTATATATATATACACATACATACATATATGTTGCATGCAGCGACTTGGGTTCAGTCAATCGAGCCCGAGAGGGTTGAGCTCAAAGCGACTAAAGCGATGAGAATTCTGTAATTGCTGCTGGACAATATATGCATCATGTACATACGCATAATTACACAGGAATTGTCGCACATGTTTCTGTCAAGCTTTGATAATGCGACGGTTGTTGCCCCTGCCGTGTTGGGCTTACTGCTTGCATGCCCACTACTGATGTCTTCACCACCCATCATTGTCATCATAATGAGCACACTCAGAATCCGGTCTGGTCTATCTGCATATCTTTTACACCTAAAGGCCTTAAGGAGTTTCGTACGAATGTGGCTCTAAACCTCTGAATGCTGAACCATCAGCTCCCTGACGTTTCCATCGTGGCACATGGTGGCCGCACTTGAACTGGTCGTATTTTGACTCGACGCCCGGGGCATGGACACCTGATCAGTAAGGTCTGGTGTTGGGTGTCCTTGTTGCACAATAGTCGTATACGACTCGGTATGATCAGAAACGTTGCTTAGATCGAGCATCGACTGAAGATGAGTGGAGAGTCGGGCACAGGCAGCTTGACGAGGTTTGCAGCTGCGTCAGCTGGGCAACTGCAGGTACGTCTTTCAGTTGCGTGCTCACTTGCCAGGCCTGCTGACGGGCAACATGAGCCATTTGCGACCGTCTAACAACAGGGCATTCTTCCTGCTGATACTCAACTACACTCTCAACTACTGCAAGCCATGCATTCAGACACTGCTGAACGCTTGCCCCTCGAGGCGGCGTCCGCAGCTTCGACGCAACGCGGCTTTGTGGCAACTTGCCGCACCCTCGACCCTCTTCAAAGCTAGCGAGGTGTCAGGAGGCATGTTCGAGCTGCACAGGTATCTTGATGTGGCCCCGGTGGCGCTGTAGGACTAAGGCCGGGACCGATGTGGTAGCCCAGAAAGCAGAAGCTGAAGGGCTCGTTGATAGTCATCCATAACTTGACCTGTCGTTCTGAGAGGCCAGAGCGTCTCGTACAGAGGGGGCTTCCAGCTTCCGAATGCTAAAACCTCAAACCCAACAGCAACCAACCTAGCTGACGAGAATGCCTACGATGACGATACAGAGGAGCAAGATGGCGAGGAAGGCGTTGAGGATGATGATGGATGGCGATGACGACGAAGATGACAACGACAATGAGGACGAGGAGGAGGAAGAGGAGGAGGAGGAGGAGGAGCAAAGGACAGTGAAAACAATCTTGCCGATGACGATTATGATGATGCTGATGATGCTGGTGCTGATTCTGACGCTGATGCTGTACTCATGCTGATGATGGCACTAGGACAGACGATGATGAAGCTGGCTGTTTGCCTACAGATGCAGAACCATGCAGTTCAAACAACAACAGTTTCAAGCTGCTCCTGGTTTGGCTGAGCTCTCTAGCGGCTGACAAGTGGCTTTCACTGACCATCTTCAAAGAACACCTACATTCGAAACATGTGCGTCTGCACATGGCAATACATCTAATCGAGAATGGCCAACCCGACAGAACAACGTAAACCAAAGCATAAGAGCCGACAAGAACTGAAATCGGAGAACCGCGGCCTCTGGAAAGGTAGTGAGGAGGAACTTGGCATAGCTTACAAAATGCTCCACCACCTGCTGCTTTCTGTGGGGTCGCCAAGCTTTCAGACTCGAAATTGTAGTCTTTGTAGTGCTGGCTTGCCGGCTACATGGCGATGTTCACCTGCTTTACTGCTTCATACCTCATCATCGTACTGTTGTCTTGGACTAAGCGCGATCTTCCGGGACGAATCCTGCCTTCAGTGGGCTTCGGTGCTTTGGAAGTTACAGCCTGAGTCCCCGAAGTCCTCCAGCGCCAAACACAGATCCCCCAGACTGAAATCCAACATGTCGCCTAGACCCTAAAGCGTAAAGTCCTTAAGCTCCGGCTCTGCGAGGCTTACGTTAGCCAAGACCTCTAAGTGCCTCGAGGCCGAGTAGCCGCAGATGCCAGCTGAACGCCAAAAAAGCGCTGGGTCTCAAGTTGGGGTGTCCCTCCCTTTTGTCGCGGTTTTGGCTTCCGGTCTATATGTGCGGCTCAGGATGTTCTTGTAAGACTATGTTATCATGCCTTGCAGGAGGGACTCTGGCTCGTGATTGCTTCTCCGAAGCCCTGCCATGACCTCACCTACATACTACATGCATGTTGAGGAAAGTGCTCAGATGAGGTGTAAAGCCAGGCAAAGCAGTCTTGCAAGGCTTCAAGCTACAGCACAGAGGCAAAAAATGCCCTTCTATCGATCAGAGAGAAACCTTTCAACCCTAAACCCCAAACCTTTAAGTTGAACCGTTGAAGAATCCGGTCGGGCGGGTGGCCTCTGGCTCTCGCCAGTCTAGCTCCTTCGGGAGATCCCAGTGATACATCGTCACCATGGGCGTGATGCCTGGAAGTCTGTTATAAGAATCACAGCAACAACAACGACGACGATGATGATGATAGCGATTGGATGATAGCAGTTGCAGTAAAGTAAAACTTAAAATAAAAGCGGTTATTCCATGCTAGCTCTGAACACCCCTCGACTCATAACCTTCAGGGACATGACTCTGCGTGGCAAGCTGAAATCGGAACTTGGGCTTCTCAAGCTTTTTGGCAGAGGGACTGTGGATAAGGTAGTGGCCGTAATAATTAGAAATGGTCTTCGGGGTATGTTATACTCTAGCTATATCGAGGAACCCTGAAGACTGTTATTGATACTTATTCCAGCTCTACATCTTCATGTCTGCTTCATCCGACAAAGAAGCACGCCAAGATCAAGATCCCGATGCATCAGCAGCTCACTGGCCGCGAAACCCTAAACCCCGACCGGTAGGTCTCAAGAATCCACAACGTTGAAACCTAGAGATTGTAGAAGGGTCGTATGTCTCTTTGCAGGCTCATTTGCACAGCTCGTTACGAAAAAGAGGAGTCTCAAAAAAGTGAACGTTGCTCTGCCCATCAACTTGGCCCGGGAACAACGGAACACCTGGGACATCAGCCTACAGAGGCTGCAGGCGCACTACGATGCTATTCTCAGGGAAGTGGCCTCTCGCCATCAGCTCTGCCAGCACTTTCCTTGGGGATCACGCTCCGAATTTCTACAACCAACAAGCAGCTGCAGTCTCGAGGTTTCGTGCTCGGGAATGATGCCGACGGCTCATAAGCATCAAGAAGAAGGAATAGATGCAACAGAAACAACAACCATGACGACCCCGGTGATGATCCGAGTAGCAGTACAAGTCTTAGAGCGATACTGTTGCTTTCATTAGTACTCTGGTAAAATCATTAGCATGCCATACTCTGGGAAACCCATCTCCGCCCAAGCTCCTGTAGAAGTCGATTCCTTCCTGGTTGGGCGTAGCCGTTCCGTTGATGAAGGGTAGGACCCGCGTCCAAGAGATCGAGAACCTTTCTGGGGCTGAGGAGTTCCGGGTGTTGTTAACATAGTTATTTGTGCGTGTGTGTATGTATATGTATGTATATATATATATACATATATATATACATATGTATATGTATGTATACATATATATGTATGTGCATATACATGACACACACACATATATATATACACACACATGTGTGTGTGTGTGTCTATGTGTCTATGTGTATGTGTGTATATATATATGTATATATATATATGCACACACACACCTAAAACAGCCTCATATTATATATGCGTACATAATCTGTACATATATATATATATATGTAGTACAAGTATCT